AATCATTATTCTATATTGAGTAACTATATTCTCAAATCTTACCTCATAAGAAGGAATAATTATAGCCATGGAAATAAACAAAAATAGTTTCATCCATTATTAAATTCTTTGTGCTTTTTTACACTACTTCCCATGTTTGGGAGGTTGTTTTGTACCCTAAGAGTATCTGTTATATCTATCATAACCAAATGTAAAATACAAGTCATATAAAGTTTATTTGATCAATACAATATACCACTTTAAGTTTTATGTCGAGAGTGATGCAATATATATCTTAGAATTTCATGTATGGTTAATATATATCAAGTTGGTCAATGCTTAACAATTCTTTTTGATGTTAATAAGATTTGGATGATTATATTTAGCCCTAACAACCCTATACAAAAAAAAGAATGAAATGTATAAAAATTATCCTTAGTGTAGCTAGAGCAAGCATAGCTAAAATAGGCTTTTTTGACTACAATGCTACTTATACTATATGTAACTCAAATAAATCCTTCACTTCCAACTACCACATCATTTTCAACTGCAGTTCTTCCAAACAATCTTACTACTAATGGTATGGTTGAAGTATATCCTCCAATTCTAAATACTTAACTTACTCTAGTTACCCTTTTATCTACTTTTGCTAAAAGTGGTAGTAATTAATTTGTAAAAGATAACAGACATGCCCATGGTGCCACTAACCCGCATGCCAAAATATTTAAACTTAGGTAAAGAACACAACAAAGGTAGCTTGTTCTTAAAAAAATTGCTATATATTGATAAAGAATTTTAAGCTTTTGAAAGTACCAATCTCAATAATGATTGTTCTATACTTTTGAATTGTAAAAACTTTAGGAAGAAGTAGAGAGCTTTGCTTGTGCACTTTCACTATCATATCAGCCACATAAAGGTCTCTTTCAAAATCAAGTCAATAAGTTGTTGTAGTGGCCATTATAAATAATCCCATCTCGATTTAAAGAGAAAATAAATTTTTTAGTTTGACTATAAGGATTATTTAAGAGTATGCATATAACAAATTTTCCCTGAATCAAATCATATATAAAAGCCTAAAAAAGAGTTGTGCAGCTACCATTTATAGATGATGCTTGACTCACTGATGTAACGAAAGAGCTTCAGTAGCTATTAAGTGAAGAAAAAATATGAAGGAATAGATTTATTTCATAACAAATGAATTGAACTCTTTACTCATTATAAAGGTTTGTTACCTCAAGAAAGCATTAGTATGGAAAATGGGGTAAAGTTTTGATTTTTTTTGTCCTTATCAACAAAAAGAAAAGTAAAAACTTGCTCGATAACTCAAACCACATACACTCATTAATCCTCACTCTAAATTGAGTAATCACATTTTTGAATCTTATCTAATAATTATAGCTATAGAAATAAATAAAAAATGGGCTTATCCATTATTGAGCTCCCGTGCTCTTTTGGTTACTTCCTACATTTGGGAGGTTATTCTTGTATCCCAGGATTGCCTATTATATTTATCACAACCAAGTATGAATGCAAAAGTTATAAAAGATTTAATTGATCAATGCAATATAACTCTTTAAATTTTGGGTTGAGAGTGAATGATGCAATATATACCATAAAATTTTGTATGGTTAATAACTAACCATTCCTTTTGATGTTAGTAATATTTGAATGATTACTCCATATTGTATTTGACATTAATACCCCAGTGTCAAAATAAATAAAGTGTCTAGGCATTGGTATTGATGTAATTGAAGCAAGTAGTGCTAAATTAAACCCTACCAACTTTTATGCTCCACCTCTTTTAAGTGTGGTTCAAGTAAATTCTCTACCTTTAGTTACCTTTTCTAAGTACATTAGCCTTTGCACCCTTTTTCTATTGGTAGTGGCTTTTTTATATGCAATTAGAGGAGGTTCTTTAACTTCAGCTTCTTTATCACATTTGACTATATTATCCATCTACTACTTCATTTGCCCTTCCACTTGCTTTTGCTATTAGTGGTGACAATCATTTATAAATGGTAGCAAGCATAACTATGGTGTAATTGACCCTCATGCCAAAACACTTGAGACTCGTGTAAAGAATATATTAAAGATAGTTTAGCCTTAAGAAAATTGTTGTATAGTGGAGACTTTTAGGTTTTTGTGAAATGTTATGCTCTATACTTTTAGATGGCAATAACTCTAAGTAGAAGTATTGAGCTTTGCATATGCAACTTCACTATCATATCAAGCATATAAATGTTTTCTCCAACATTTAATAACTTTTTATAATATCAACCACAAGCAATTCCCTACCTTGGTTTTAAAAAGTGAAAGTGATCTTATCTATGGGGATTATTTTGGAGGTTATCTATAATGATTTTTCCCTAAATAAAATTGTATATGAACCTTCAACTAAACTTCTTATTAATTAAAAAAGATCCTGATGTTGAGAAATCATTTACATTGGGATAATTACCAATGATGAATTTGTTTATAATAAGGGTTTAATTATAAAGTTTTATACTACTCTTAACCACACTGGTGGTTAAAGGTTGTCTCAAAACGCCATCTAGATTTAAAAATTTATATTCCAAATTCATTGCCTTCACTATCTTGAAAGTTACATATTCGAAAATGCCCATAATTCCATCATGAAATACAAACAACCTCTCAAATTTGTAATCACTAAGCAATTTTGCTAAAACACTCCACTCCTTTACACCTAAATTATATTTTTTATTGTCACATTTGACTCTTTAAATTGCAAAAGTTTTACTTGAATCCTTGCTTTAAATCAAGCAACCATATTCTAGGATCTTGCCTCACAAGAGGAAAAAATTACAACTATGACAATGGAAAAAAAAAAAAACCCACCTATCATTAAGTTTTTTGTGTTCTTTTGCATTACTTTTCACACTTAAGAGGTTGCTTTTATGCCCAATATTACCTATTATATCTATCATAACTAAGTATGAATGAAAAATTTATAAAAAGTATTTTTTAATCAATACAATAAAACTCCCTAGATTTTATATTGAAAGGGGTTGCAATTTCTCTAGAATTCTAATGACAAAATGCTTCACACAAAATTTTAAAATTTCCTCTTGTTACCAAACTTCTACTCAAGATAGACATGAGGAGGATATAAACTGAGATGGCAAATTTGTGGAAATCCTCAACTGAATGATGTTTACATGCTGTCCGTAATTAAGAATGAAATTGAAATTTAAAATAAGAAGTCTCCAACGCCGAATCTAGGGTTTGAGGATGGGAGTGGCATTGGCGGCATTCTTGCCCCAAATCTCTGCTACCGGAGGTTCTCCCTCGCGTTTCCACCAGCAGCAGCATCGCCGGCCCCGTCGCGCTTCACGATTGGTGCCGTTCAGGGAGGACGATGACGATTCCAGCGCTTCCTCGAGCGCCAGGCCCGAGGATCATCCATATTTCTTCAGGTAATCCGACTCTAGCAGCTCCATATGGCTTATCCTGGGGTTTCTCTGGTTTCGCAGTGACGAGATTGAGCGTGCCGATGGCGCATTGCGATTCTTCGCGACGTGCGCCCCCGGATTGGAAGACGTAGTCGCGGCGGAGCTCCGGGCGTCCTCCATCGGAGCTCACAGCGTCAAGACCGGATCCTCTGGGGTCTACTTCTCTGGAAGCTGGCACACGGGATTCCTGGCCAATCTCTGGTCACGCTGCGCGGTTCGCGTGCTCCAGCTCATTGCTGCCGCCGATCTAAGATCGTCGAGGTATGGACAGCGATCTGACCCCGTCTATAACTTCGTGAAGGATGCAGTGGATTGGAAGACGCTGGTGGTGGCAGGGAATCGAGGAAAGCTGCGGAGTTTCTCCATCCATAGCCGAGTGTGGGATTGCTCGGAGGTTTCCAACACGATGGTAGCTTGCACTCGAGCCAAGGACGCGATCTGTGACGCTCTCAGGGATTGCTGCGGTGGAAAGAGGCCGGATCCGCCAGACGCCTACGATGCTGCGGACTTGCCATTGTTTCTATCTCTGTATAGAGACAAGGCATTGCTATACAGGGATATGAGCGGGACGAGCCTTCACATGAGGGGTTATAGGGACGCTATGCACAAGGCCAGCTTGAACGAAGCGATAGCAGCTGGGATCTTGACGATGGCCGGGTGGAATGACAAGTTTGTGCCGGGGTTTGGAACTTTCAACAAGAATGTTGGTGGAGGGAGAGTTCTCATGGATCCCATGTGTGGCTCGGGGACTTTTTTGATCGAGGCGGCTCTCATGGCTTTAAATATCGCTCCAGGACTTTTGCGTCCGCGATGGCCGTTCATGGTATGTCATTCTAGCTTTTTCACCTTTGATTGTGATTTCTTTCTTTTTTTCCTTGTAGAAATGGCACGACTACGATAAGATGGAATGGAAACTGTGCTGCAAAGAAGCTACTGAAGCGCAAGTCAAAGCGCCTCGAGATTTGCAGCTGCTAGGAAACGACTTACACGAAGGATCACTGCTCTTGTGTACTCGGGACGCCAAGAGAGCAGGAGTGGAACATCTCCTCCGCCTCAGCTGCGAGGACTGCCGGAGATATGTTCCTCCTGTTTGTCCGTCGCTCGTCACCGTCAATCCTCCGTGGGGAAACAGGCTAAACGAAGAAGAACCGAGGTAAGCAAGAAATCTATGTGGTTCCTCCTTGACGACAGTTTTTGTGAACAGCTTGATCGCAACTTACATGGCGCTGGGGAGATTTCTCAAACAGTATAGCAGCAGAGCTGATGTTTACGTGCTCAGTGGAAACTCGACTCTCACACGCCAGCTTCAAATGAAGGCCGATAGGAAGTGGCCTATCACAGTGGGAGGATTCGATTGCAGGCTTTTACACTACTACATTTTGCCTCCAAAGACGAGCAGTGGTAATGATCTCCACCTAAGTTTTCTTGTTGTCTAACTACTAGTCAATGCAGCTATGGTGGGCGCTCGCGAGGAGTCATCACAGACATGACCGTTCCATCCATCCGCGATTGTGATTTCATTTGAGACAAGAAAACTTGAGAAACTTTCGCTGCAAAGGTACGACTTTTTCGTCGAGACAAAGAAGGGTGAATATTATAACGTGCGTTCTTACACAGAGAAAGCATCGCGATGACTATCATGACGAAAGAAGCGAGGTAGTAGTAATACTAGCAACAGTGATCTGGAAAAACATACCGGTGTAGCTGACCGAGAGAAGAGAAAGCGAGAGAGAGAGAGCGAGAGGGAAGGAGCTCTCTCTCCCGGTGAGTCGCGAGCTCTTTCTTTTCTCTTTCTCACTCACTCTTTTCAGTGAGTAGTAGAGGCGAGAGGATCAGGAGGCAAAGTGTCGGCGATAGCCATCAGCTTTGATCTGCAGCAAGCATCCTTGACATCACCATTTTGGACCTCAGCTGGAGTGGAAGCAGGAGATCTAGGAGTAGAAGCAGTGGGAGTGTTTGCCTCGCTCACCTTCTCCAGAAGCTCGGCGTCGTCGCCCGCCTCCGACAGCACCAAGAGTCGCGCCCGGGCAGCGTCTCGCGTCGCCTCGCTAATGCCGCCGCCAGCGCTGCCACCGCCGCTCCTCCTCTTCGCCGCTTCCTCCGCCGCGGCCTCCTTTGGGTGGCTTTGATCCTTTCGCGATTCGATGATCACTGGCGCTGCCTGTCCGCCCATCCCCAGAGCAGCCCTAAAAACACCCGATCTGCGCGAGAGAGAAGACGGATCGATGAGAGAGCGCCAAGGAAAAAATGAGGATTTTGTTACCAGGGAGTTTTTTTATAAGCCAAGACGCGTCGCTCGCCCTGCTGCCTACACGCCCATCCTTAAACCCTAATTGGGTTACAACTGTACTACACGCTCTTATCCCGTTAAGCTGTCGGTTTGCGCCACGTGTATCTGTGCGCTGATTTAATCGAAATCTTAACGAGGTGCTGTATTGGATCACCAAGCGAAGACGAGAAATTATATCATTACTAGAAAATGCTAAGCAATGCTGGGTCGATTCTTGCCTTGTAAACATGGACAGGTTTTATCACTCTTGAAGCAAAGAATTGCGCTTCAAATGGTCTTGCCAATTCTTAAAATTGCTTCGGGATTCGAAAGGAGCTCCACACCACTTGATATTCTCTTGATTTAATATTGAAGTACAAACTGTTTTTCTCAACTGAGACACAAGAACAAAATAGTGAAGTAGGAAAAGAGGCCATTACACAGTGCCATTTGTTTGTCTTCTTCTACCAATCTAATCTGGCATGCTAGCTGTGACTTGTATGTGGTGCCAATTTCATTTAGAGAGTAAAACATCTCAGTAGAAATATTTTACAAATGCCCCAGGCTTCTACTGATAGTAGAGTTTTAGTATTATATGCAAATTCTGGGCGGTAAAATTAAAATTTAATAGGTTGGAATATGACTTATACTTTTACTTCAAGGGTAATCCAAAATCTTATGAAATAAATTAAATGAGGTAAAAACTATATTTGTAATAATAGAAAAATTCTTTATACAAATTTAATATACTTAAATTTTTAATAATAATAAACTTTTATTAATTTTTAAGTATCATTAATTGCAAACCAAAATTCTGATAAAAGAAAATTACATATTTCAATATAAAAATATGACTATTTTCAATTGTATTTCTTATACCTTGTTTTTTTTTCTTCTAAATCTTGTATGAGAAAATATTATCACCAACATTTAAATTTAGCAAATAAAGAATTAAATAAAAAACCATTATAAGAAATAATAGCTTGTGTATAAAATACTTTTTTAAAACATAATTGCTAAATGGTTGAATCACTAGTTTATATTTTTTATTTAAATTTAAATTTTTATTAATAAACCTAAATATCACTATGGTTATCAACAATTGTACTTGATATTTAAATACTATATCACATTTTTTTTCATCTTTACATATTTCATAAGTTTTGTATCTTTTATCCATCTAAAGCTTTTAAATAAATAGGTGGATTAGTGTTGCTATTAAAAAAATTAATTTTATATTATTAAATATTTTAATTTAGTACCCATGAAATTTTTCCTACCATTAATTGTTGATTAAAGTAGGTGAGGTAATAATTTATTTTTGTATAGCCTAACCAAACTACCATTGCTAAATTAACAAGTTTAATTTTTTGCTTACTAATCCCTTTAGCATATACTATCTTATGGCCTCAATTTACTGCTCTTTTAATGAATATTGTCATAAAAGCTACATGTTAGATGATTTAAAACTTTGAGACTCAATAATAATAATTTTTCATTTAGTGAAGATAATTATAAAAATTACAACCAAAGGTTTTTTTAAAGATAAAAATATATAATTAATCGCAAACCTTATAAATTTTAAAATTATAAATTATATACCTATTTTTATAGCTATATCAAACTTTATAGTATATATAGTTAATACATATTTTATTTTATTACATTTATTAAAATATATTTAGAATATATAATGACTTAATGGAGATACTTCATGATATTTTATGATTTTATAAAATAAATTATTAATACATTTACTTGCATATAAAGTTAAATCATCTACTATAGCTTATTATACATATAATAATTGTGGAGAAAGACTAAATAAACTAATATATAACAAAAAATTTATTATATTCAATTGTAATGTATAATTATAATATGTAAATGTTTTCATTAAGTTACTTAGGTTTACATTTTTGAACTTCCAAATTTGGGATAAATAAAAAAATTTATTTTAAAGATGATTTATAAGTATTGAATGGGATAGAAATCAACCATGTTCCAAAATGTAAAGACAAAGTGATAAATGAAGGTTTGTAATTTGTATTTGAAATCATAAAAAAATATAATTATTATAGATGACAACTTTAAAATGTTTTTAAAAATTTAATACAAAAGTGAAACTTCAGTAACAAGTATTTTGTATTAAAAATATAATTTAATATATAATTTACCATAAGATTACTATCAAATATTCACCTTTAAATAAATTTGCAAACTATTCATCCGAGAAGGTTTTAATATTATACAAGAACCTTCACACAAAGGACAGTTGATTCATTTTCTGCTATCATGGATGACAACAGCTCTGCTATCTCTATGCTTTCCTGGAAAACAGACAAGGTCAGCCTCCACAAGCACTGTCATTCTCAAAGTTAGACCCACCCCACGCCTGGCAATTGTTGGTGTGACTTTGTCGAGTGGCAGATCACGAGGTCCAAGTACTAGAACGTCATTCGGTTTTATGCGCGCAGTCATACTTCCGGGAGCAAGCCACTGGCAGTGGAATTTGATCACCGAGAGGCAAAGTTTTCAACTCTACTTACCGTCACATCTCCTGTGCTACAATCGACCAAGGCAGTCGCAAACGCTCCAGGGCCGCCCACCGCTATGTCTCTCCCCGAGATAACTACCACTGTCGAGTGAAAGGATGGTGTCCAATCTTGAGCCTGGCATGCGTGTTACCAGCGGTTTTAGCCAAGAAACTAGCTCTCTCACCTTGAGCGTGTCCATGCTTTCCAATGGTTCGTCTTGTACGTCGTCGCTGTCGTCGTATGTCCATTGGGCCCTTATTTCCTCCATATCCTTCTCATCCTCGCGGAGGTCTTGAACTCTTCCTTCTATGGCAGTCGTTACCCTGGCTTTGGTTGAGAGTCAGGGAAAAAGAAACCACACCATTACCTCGACATAAGATACTCAATAGCATGCGAGAGATCTCTGTGACTTTCGAATGCTTCCGAGCACAAATCTTGGAACGTATACACCCTTTCATGTGTAAGACTCGTGGCCCCTGTTAAAAGAAAAAGGGAACGATCAAAGGGACGAGAAAACGTGAGATAGAAACTCACGCTTGTTATGTGATCCGCAGCCATCCAGAACAACAAAAATTAAAGTTTTCCCCTCGACGTCCAGAGACGTGATAAAGCTCTAGCAGAAATTTTCATTGCATGATTTGGCGCAACAACACTTACCAAGTTACATGGCTGCTGCTTGTCGATCCTGGCGCAAGACACAAGATTGTCGACATGGATTTGCCGCCCAGAACCAGGATACCAGATTCCCCCTTGCATCACAAAACCCTAAAACAGGTATCTGTATTAGGGTTTAAGGTTTAGGCTTATATATAACGGTGTTTAGAAATGAGAATAAAAATAGCCTTAGAATTACATTAATCAGGAAGTTCTGGAAATGCCTTTTAATCTTATACTATATGGACATGGCAAAAGTAAGTCTTCCAGATCAAATTTCAAAACAATGTGTAATTTAAGCCAAATTAACATGATTCCAAGAGAGAGAGCGAGTTCCTACAAGAGATACACGCTATCAAGAACAGCGAAGCCAGTGGCTACGCCTCCCTCGTCTACTTTCGAGGCTTTTGTTCTCAGCAAGTAGCCACAATCCTTGTTGGTGATTTCTCTTTCGCCATTCCTGCAAAGGGATTGAGAGAAAAAGAAAAGAAGTGAAATGAAAAGAAGTGAAATGGCTCGAGATACTCACCTCAAGTATGCGCTAAAGATTCCCAGCTCCGAGACTGCTTGCTCGGCGCTCCATTCGCCTCCTCGCAGGAGATAGGACGTGTACGTCGGTGGGAAGATGCGCTGCATGAGGATATAAGCCGAAAGCCCGGCTCCTCCGTCTCTCAGTAGCTCTTCGAGCTTCGCTTTCACAGCGCTGCCATAGATGTTGTTTCCTGTGAAAGGCGAAAACGATGAGCTCGACGCTTGCAAGCTGGAGAAACTTGGAAACGAAAACTCACCACCGCCTTCGCGTTGAGGCTTTAGAACAAATAGCTCGGGCTGCTGGATGGCTTTGTTGATGATGTCGTGACACTCTTCGCTGTCGAGGCCCCACAGCCCCGCAAAGCACTCACGAATGATCTTCGCGGCGTTTTTGTCTTGAACAAACCTTGAAGAATGGATGAACTGTCAAACTAGCTGAAAACAAAGGACGGCAGTACCTTTCTAGTACATTCGGCTTGGCAAGCTCTTGTTGCACTTTTTTGGTTCCAGCTAAGTGGTATGAGATCGATGGACATTTTATGGCCGAGGAACGCTCCAGCAGCAATCTCGCGTGCCATTCCTTGTACCGAAACAACAAGAAAATAAAGAAATAGCCTCGAATGGCTCACATACCCGCTCGGAAGGATAATCAGTGGGTGCGTAGCCTGATCTGTAGTAGATGACCGCGACAGGATGCCCATCACTGCGAAAACCAAACGCAAAAGAAAAGCAAAAAACATAACTGTAACTGGTAAAATCCAAAAAAGATTGCACTCACACAGAAAGCGTTCCATTGGAAGATAGATGCGCTTGAGAATAAAGTTCACTTAGCGTTCGACGAATCACATTGGCACCGTGACTGACTTAAAGTCAAGGAACAAAAACATCAACAAACAGAGAAAAAGGATACAGCTCGTGAAGATATTTTTCCAGCCAGAACTGATCATACATATTCCGCTCGTTTGGTTGTACAACAACGAGCACAGCTGCGCTGGGAGTAGAATGTGTCAGTAGTTTTTAAAGCATGCATCCACTCACCTCGTGTTCCCAAATTCCTTCCAAGCAAGTCCCAAGACATCACCAAATGCAACAGCTGCGTTGTTCTCGGGAACTTTTCCGGGGTCAAGATGCTCGACTCTTTTAATGACGTCCCTGAGGAAACAATCATAAGTTATCTACAGCTATGAAACAGGAGTGAATACCTGTGCAGCTGGCTTACAAGTGAACCAAGGCCAGCGAAAGAAGAAGAGATGGTGTTTATCTCAACCTGTAACAGCTTGCCTGTGACCATATCTCGCATATAGTCCGACCGATGCATTCCAAGTTGTATGTTCTAAAATGCATAGATCAAGTCAGGAGTAGAATCAGAATGAGGAAAGTCTGAATCTTACTTGCACAATGCCTTCAGCTCGAATTTTCGAGTGAATGTCGAGCAGTTTGTCCGTGAAAGGATCAGCAGTACGTGTCCTGAGAAAAAGTGAGCAGAAAGAAACGGAGTCCAAAACAAATACAGACTTTGCGAGTGTTTGCTCAAGAAAATCACTGTCGGAGCTCACACGATCAACGAGCGTGTTAAAATGCGATCCAAGGTTGAGAGCTTGCTGGAAGAGAGCCTCGGGAAAGGGAGAAGGAAGAAGCGCAACCGGTGCATGAACAATTCCAACACCTGGATTTACAGAGCCCTGCGCAACAGAAAAGTATGAAAAGAAAGAAGGTTTCGACCGAAAAGCCCTTTACCTCGATCGATCTATCACCAATGACGAGGCCATTCAGAGAGGCCCAGGTGAGCGCCTTGGAAACCAGCGTTGCAGCGACATCCTTGCTCACAGAAACTTGGGCTCGTTCCAAGTTCTCTTCTTCCTTTATTTTCGAACTCAGCGCCATTGCTCTCACCTGCCTTGCCTGGAGATGTGGGCTGAAAGGATTCGCGGAGGTAGCCACGCTCAGCATGAGTTCAAACCCTCTTACTGTTATGATGCATTCAAAGCAGACTTTTTCTGTGAGATCTGTGAAGTTAGCGAAGGAAAATCTTCCGTGTTCTTCTTAACTGGCCTTCCCGAGGATGTTTCTCGACAAATTTCACCCAGCTTCCATCTAGGCCTTAAATCCACCTGAAAAAAGCCACTGGCTCGAGTGCATACAAAAAGGTAAAATGAGGTACCCAATAGTCTTCAGGTTCATCGACGGGAGGTGGTGGATCATAAAGCCCCAGACGAATGTACTCGACTCCAGTCCATGCAACCATCACTCCTGAATTCGAAAGGCCCGGTGAAGCAGCGATGAATTGCAATTTCAACAAACCATTGTCTGTGCAGAGACGTGGTGGAGGAAAGAACAAATCCAGTTGATGCTCTTTTGCTACAGCGCCAAGTCGACTTCTAAGGTACTTGTTCGAAGCTACGCCACCAGCGACAACCTGAGCCATCACGAATTAATCCAATGCTTTGGCCAAGCGAAGGCTTACCATGCGCTTCATGCATGGTTCCATTTCTCTGGCCCACTCCAGTGCCCGGCGGCATCTATCTTCAAGGTGACGCACAGCCACCACCTGCATTACAAACTTCAGCCGATAATCAAAAATTATGTAACAAACCTGAAAGGAAGCGGCCACATTGGCTCGTGATTGTCGATCGCTTGAGCTTGCAGAAGCTAAAGGTACTGCACCATTGCTGCCACGTCAAGAAAAACTTTCATAAGCCAAGACACTGGTAGTGAAGCCTTACATGTTTAAAGATTCAATTGTGAGCTTCACTTGAGTCTTCAGTCCCGCATACGAAAAGTTGCAATCTTTATGGGACCTCATTGGTACCTGTCAGAACAAGTTTACATAGTCAAATAAAGGGATCCAGGCATGTTGCTTACAGTAAACTTGAACGCGTCTGCATCTCCTTCTAGAGCAAGTTCTTCAAGAGCAGGACCACCTCCTTTACAAATGTCAAGACCAAGGAGCCTCGCTGTTTTGTCATAAGCCTGCAGTTTTCATGGGGAAATAATTGAACAGGAGCTCAACAACAAACCTCTCCAACGGCATCATCTAAAGTAGTTCCTAGTTCAACATAATCGCCCACATCTTTTGCAATGAGAAGAAGGTTGTGACCACCTGCCAATTGCGTGCTTGTATGCGATAGAAAGAAACTTAAGCACAAACCTGAAACCAGAAGAACAAGGAAGGGAAACTGAATATCAGCATTCGTGAGTCTGGATCAAACAAGCCACAAGAAGCACAGGATCAAGAAACTAGAGAAAAGAGAAATGAAACCTTGCAACTAAAGCGTGAGCTTCCATGTGATGTACTCCCACAAATGGTAACCTCCAGCAGCGAGAAATAGAGCGAGCCTTCCTTACACCGACTGTAGAAAAACAATGTACTCAGTGTAAGCCCAGGAAAGATCACAAAGAACGTTACCATCCAAGCACAAACTCAAGCCAGGACCAATTGTCACAGCTACTGCTGCCAGATCTGACTCCTTCACTTTTGCATTCTCTAGAGCTTGTGCCACCACCTAAAGAACATAAAACAACTCTCAAAGCGTCCATGGAAAGGAGAATAGCTTACTTCGTCGATTGCTTGCTCGTGGTTTAGACGTGCTGCTAGAGGCATCACCCCACCATACTGTCGAAGCAACTCTGCCTTGAATCCAAAGAAACAAAACAAAACAGAATAAAAACAAAGAAGAGAGAAAAAAAGTACCTGCGATCTCAGTGCCTCTCCCAAAATCTTTCCATCGCTAGTGACCTGATACGAACCTTGAGAAAATGCAATCTCACTGCAAGAAAATCCACTTACAACAGCGGCTCCAGTGTCGTCGCAGCTCGTCTCGATTCCCAGAACAGGCAGCGGACCAGCAGCCGCAGCGAGAAAAGAAGGGCGCCGTGCAGGACTTTGCGCATTTGGGACGAATGTGAGGCGCCATTGGCAGGGATTGGCAAGAGCAAGCGCCATAGCTCGAAAAACCCTAAATCGAGGGAAAGAAGATTCAAAAACGAGTTTATAACATTACATAACAAAGAATTACATTGGCATTGTTTCGATTGATCAGTCGATACCAAGTCCCAAGTGCGATTCAAATCCAGTCTAGCACGCGATCAAGAACAAAGATTTAATCTTGCTGGAGAATAGAAATGGAGAGAAGATCAAAAGCATTTTCATGGAGGAAAAAGAAGAAACTCGAATGAAAAGAATTTTGGATCCACTAAGCTACCCAAAAATGCTACTCACAGAGCTATCCCCATACACCCGCCAGATGGTTTCACCGAGGAGGTTCGCCACCGAGAGAATTGTAAGCTCCTTGAAGCTCTCTTTCACTGGAATCGTGTTTGTGATGATCACTTCTTCGAAGAGACCACCTGATAGGCGCTCGATCGCAGGAGGACTGCAAGAACAGCAAAGTGAATACCAAAATCGCACTGAGAGAAAAATGTTTGAACCTGAAAACACCGTGTGTGCAGCAAGCGTAGACAGCTCTGGCTCCTTCTTGACGAAGAAGCGCAGCTCCATTTGCTATCGTCCCTGAGAAAAGGAAAAACCACGCAAATCACTTCCGGAAGAACAAAGCAAAGATGAAAGATTCAATTCACCAGCAGTGTCAATCATATCATCTACCACGACTGCGATTTTGCCATTGACATCACCGATAAGATTCATCACCTGAAAAGAAAAAGAAAAAGAAATCTTTGAGAGAAACCAAAGAAGGAAACAAATCGCACCTCAGAAACATTGTGACTTTGACGTCGTTTGTCCACGATCGCGAGCGGTGCATCCGAGAGTTTCTTGGCGAAGGCCCGAGCGCGAGCAACACCACCCACGTCCGGGGAGACTACTACGAAATCGTCAGCTGATATCATCTTGCTTGCGAGGTAGTCCAGTATAACGGGCTGTAGCTCGAAACATAAGCTCGCTTAGAGGAGAGAAACCAAAGTTACCTGACCATAAACATGATCCACGGGAATGTCAAAGTAACCCAACGCCTGCCCCGAGTGTAAGTCGCATGCAAGAACACGGTTCGCACCGGCTTCTGTCAAAAGATTTGCAACAAGCTTTGCTGCAATCGATTCACGTCCTTGAGTCTGAAAAACATCACACGACGTGTAGATTGAAAGAAAAAGCTGGATCACAGTGACTACCTTTCTGTCAGCTCTGGCGTATCCAAAGTATGGAATTACTGCTGTGATGGTCTTGGCGGATGCACGCCGGCATGCGTCTATCATGACCAGTAGCTCCATCAAGTTCTCATTTGCGGGTGGACAAGTCGGCTGGACCAAGAACACTTCACTGCCTCTCACGCTTTCCTGTAGCTGGACGTAGATTTCACCGTCAGCAAAGCGCTTGATGCAAATCTTTCCAAGTTCTAGGCCCATGTAGCACGCGATTTCCTGATAGCAACAAAAGAGACAAAGGGAGGAACAAACAGCCAAAGTTTTAACAATAGAGACAACGAGAACAAAAGAAAGCTTTTCTTCTACCTTGGCCAGTGGCAGATTCGCTGTTCCCGAGAAAATTTTCAAGCGATTATCCGGCCTCGAGGAAGGCATGTTGATTCCTCTCGCCGTGAGAATGTCACGTTGTGAGAGGACGCTCTTGAGCTCAGCCTGAACCGACCTAGATCAACGCAAATCCGGAAGAGAAGAGGGGGAAATCACTCACTTCAAAACTCGAGCTCGAGCAATCTTTGCTGTTGATCGAGAATCCAGCTTGCGAGACGCACAATGCGGCTGCTCTGCCGCCTCTCCTGCCATAGTTCTCGCCCAATCTCACTGACAGTGAGCTAGGGCTCACCAGGGAAGCCATGGCGCTTCCACTTGCCAATCACACGATAGCCATAAGCCCTAAACCTTTGCAATGGGGAATATTCTTTAAAGTGGGGACGAATATGCTCCACCGGGTATATGTCTATCTAGGGTTCACTGATAGTCATATTGGCATTTTTTTTGTTCTCTCGTCCTCCACGGAAGAAGGCGCAAGGCGGTGGGAGCTGCCGGCAGGAATTGGGGTTTCTACGCTGCGCTCTCCATGCTCGCGAATCCAGATTCAGCTCTTGGCATCGGCAATGCCGGGTAATCGCGAGCGATATTTCGGTGTGATGCGCAGGGATTCATCGTTTTTCCGTGAAGGTGAGGGTGCTTGGGGCACATTCTGTGTGATCTAGTGACGGAGCCGGCGGGTAGGCGCTTGCAACGCGCTGCTAGGATAGCCGCAGGGAAAAGATCTGGAAATCGGCCGCTAGTAAGATGGTGAAGGAGGATGGAAGCCGACGTGCGGATAGTGTTGTGAGTGTCGATCGTGTTGGGTGTGGTTTCATGGACTGAGGCTTTGCGGTGTTTGTGGCACAGGTGCTTGATATCAACATGGCCATTGAGGAGCTACACAAGTTTAGTCCCCATGAGATGAAGAAAATCCTTCAGGATACTCACTGCCTAAGCTTCCGTGTGAGCTCAACAACGAAGGGAGCGATCGTCAGTGTAAGCTTTTGGAAATTTTTTAGGCGTGTTGGGTTTTCTTTCTAACGCTTTACTGGATCTAGGTGGACATCGAGAAGCTGGCTACTTTTCTTCCACTTCACTTGCTCGCGTGTGTAGCGTCTAGCATCTCCCAGCCCCGATTTCGCTATCTTCTTCGAGGAGTTCGGCTTTTACACTCGTTAAGTAATTTGGCTCCTCGTTATCCTAAGCTTGAGCAGGTACTGGACTTTGACTGACCGATTGAGTTTCTCAAGGTTTCATTTCTTTATGCAGATACTGCTTCAAGAAGTTAAGATACGCGAACAGATAATCGACCTAGTGATTTTCATGCTGATTGTTCTGGCAGATGTAGAGCCGGTGCGCCCCATTTTTGCTTTTCCTACTTTTCTGAGGGCCTGTTTTGTATCCAGGATGGTCGCTGGGGAAGTTTTCTAGCAGTACTCCACTCGGCTTTGGTAGCCTGCTGCCTGTACCTTCTGACAGCATTTGTCACGCCAGAATGGCGAGACGTTGCTCCTGTTTTACTGGCTCATCCCAAGGCAAGCAACACTTTTAATTGCATCTCAAGGTAACACTTTCTCTGTGCCAGGTGGACATATTTATGGATGCTGCGTTTGATGCTGTGAGGCGAGATATTGGGCTGTTGCAAGGGAGATTCAAAGCTTTGAGTGCAAAGCTAGCAAAGGAGAAGACACCTCCACTCTGTGGTGCTGAACAAGTTTCATCGACAACGTTGGAGCATTGCGAAGCTTCTTTGCAGGTTCTACAAGCTCTGTCTGAACCCCAAGCTTTCAGGGATCGTTTGCTTAATCATAAGGTTTGTTGTCTCCTTGTGGTTTTCTGTTTTTATTTACCTTGGTTACTTGGTTGCAGGAACTCTGTAAAAATGGTGGTATTCTATCACTAGTTTTGGTAGTGCTGCAGCTACAACTGCCATCACATTTGCAACACATACAAGCTTTATCAGCATCAATCTCTCGCGTGAAATCTAAAGTTCTTGCAATGGTGAGATTTGATTCAATTTTGTTCGGATTTTGATTCGGGAGGATTGCAGCTTTTGAAGTTTTGTGAGACGGAAACAGTCTCGTTTCTGGACGAAGTGGCAACTGATCCGAAAAGCATGCAGTTGGCGAAGATGGTTGCAGCAGAGGTAAAACCTCTTATTTGTCTCCGTATGACTGACTCCGCCTTGCAGATTGTTTTGCTCGTCAAAAATGCATTCTTTGAAACGTTTACAGTGCAAATGGTTCAGGAAGATATTGAAAAGTGCCCAGCCGGAATGCTTTATTTAAATGCTATGCGGCTTGCGGATGTTTTGTCGGATGACTCGAACTTTCGCAACTTCTTTATGGACCGTATAGTAAGTGCTTGTTGGACTTCTTCACTCATTACCTTATGATTTATATTACAGGCTCCGGATTTAGCTACGATTTTGGCTATGGATCCCTCAGAATTTTGTTCCAAGTGGTGTGGGGGTTGCTCAGCTCAAGATATGGCTGACTGTGAAATTGACGCTACCCTCGTCTATGATCCGTTTCATGGTTCAGGAGCAGCAATGTTGTCCTTCAAGCCATCGCCAGGAACTTCTGAAGAAGGTAACAGTGGCTGTAGCTTGTCTATTAAGCCGGTGGAGCCGACGTTCTATGCCCAAGAACTCTCAGCTTTGCTAGTAAAGCTATTCGCAAATCTCCATTGTTTCAATCCCGAAGTTTGTCCAGGTATTATTGTTTTGTCATTTTATCCTGACATGACATCATTTCTACAGCCGACGAAAAGGATCGATTTTTGTGTTTGTTTATGCGCTGTCTCTCCGCCGGTCCACTGAGCCCCTTAAGCAGCTCTTTTTTTATGACTTCGGATCAAACTGCTGTCAGAGTTTGCGAGAATCTTCGTAAGTTTTATCAATCACAGCATTTCCATCACAAGTGCATATGCTTTATAGATATACTTGTCGATCACGTGGCTTCGCTTCCTTCTGATTTGGCAAACGACGAGGATGTCCAGCTTGCTAGGTATCATTATGCATTTTCTCTTCTGTGATTACTAATGTGGTTTTGTGGTGCTAGTGTTTTTGCTGCAGAGTTACATGAAGCATTTTGCTTATCTCCCGACGTGCATGCGGTGAGATTTTTCTGCATGCTTTATATAAATAATGTGTTTATAACTTTGAGAATGCAGGACGCTCCCGTGGTTACATACGTACGAGATGCTCATGAACAACGGCTTGGAGCTATAGTAGCTCGCCGGGTTCCTTCAGAACGCTGGCAAAGATTACAACGCGAGATGGAGCAAAATATTCCCGAATGCGATCCCCATATCTTACCCGCTCATGAGGAGACCACTCCATTACACGTCCCTGAGGTAAATTGTGCGGTTGTAGAGCTTATTGTTTATTATTTTTTGTTTGATCAGGAAGCTTCATCTGCTGTTGATAGCAAGGCAGATGTCAACGTAGACGTTAAGCTGCAAGAAGACGAAGGGCCACAGTCCGGTGTACAGTCCGGTGTAAAAGTAGAAGAGGAGTGTGTTTCTGCCAGGGAATCTGATGCGAAGGACTTGCCTGTAAAGACAGAACTTGATGAGGTGGTCATGAAGACGGACACTGAAGTGAAGGAGCCAGATGAAGTGGCTCCAAAGGTGGAGGAAGAACCAAAAGAAGATATCAAAACGAGCGTAACAAACGTACCCATAATTGATCCGCTGCCCGTGATTGAACCGCTGCCGGAACCAACAGTGCTGGTACATCCTAGCGGTTTGCAGGCTGCTACACCAGTTATAGAAAGACCACCAGAAAGATTACTGCCACCTCGGCCTCCGCAAGTTCAAGTAGAGCCACAACAAAACCATCCTGCGGCAGTTGAGGAGAGGGAGAGAATAAGTTTAATACGGAAGCATGAAGATGAGGCCAGAGCTGACCATCATCATATGGAACAACCTCGAAAGAGGCAACGACGTATCATGAGCGAGCAGCAAATTGCTGTGATGGAGGCTGCTCTGAAGGAGGAGCCTGAAATGCAAAGATACGCCGAGAGAGTACGACATTGGAGCATTATTCTCAACAAGATGGTAAGTTCTCTGCTTGAAAATTCGTGTTCTCAGTTTCTGCTGTTTCAGGGTCCCGAGATCACTACTGGTCAGCTAAAGAACTGGTAAGCTTTAGCACTCGTCATTTATCCTCTACTCAATTCGCAATTTCAGGATAAACAACCGGAAGGCGAAACTCGCCAAGCTGGCTAAAGAGGGCCGTTTGGATCCCGCCGTTGTCAACAGACCAAAACCATGCTACGTTAGTAGCAGCAATTTCGAAGAACCACCGGTTATTGAGGAAGACTTACATCACAGAACAGCATATAACAACAATGTCAGCCACCGTCCGGAGCCCCCGGTGATCGAAATGGAACCAAGTGTCACGCAGATAGGCCAGAACGTCGTACTCAAGGATGAGCTGGGAAGAGAGATTGCCTACGGCATCACAAAGGCAGTCACGCCAGGCGAAGAAGGAGCTGTAGCAATGTGTCTGGTGGAGATCGTCGATCTCAAGGTTGATCGAGGGACAAAGCTTCCAATCGGATCGGACTTCATGGGAACAACGTTTGACGAAGCAGAGAAGAAGCTTGGAAAGTTGATAGTAGCTTGGCCATCAAATAACGTCCGGCTGAGGCTCTAGGTAACATATTGTCTTGGACTTTAACGAGCTAGCTACAACAATTCATTACTAGGAGCAATCCGGCTGGCCGAGCAAGGAGGAGCATTTTGTACACTAGGAGAGTGCGTCTCAGGCAAGGTTTTAGCCAGATTTGTTGTACAATTTCACACACCTTTTTAATTCAACCTTCTTCAGGAGAGCAGCGATTCCATGCTGGTTTCTTACGAGCTCTGTTCCATACTCCAGGCAAGAGATAAGACAGCAAACAGGATCATTTTACTGTTTGTTACTGCGTTGGTAATCTATAAATTCTCTTTTATTTCCAGAATCAGATGCTTCTATGTGCGAAGGAAGAAGAAGGCTTAAGTTTCGGACTGAAGAAGCTGCTGTATCTAAACGATGAATCCAGAGACGCGCTTCTTCTCATCGCGGCCAATTCAGAATGGCCAGAGTGACTGCCGCCAGTGGACAAGTTGGAGGAGATTTGCGACCCAGGTTTCACCGGACGAAAGCAAGATGACGAGGACGACGAAGAGAGATCATCGAGCTCGTCGTTGCCAGCTTTTAAAGCCACGTCGATCACAAGAGCAGCAGGACTTGGGATTTGAGGGCCGAGCTCTTGCGGTGGAGGAGAAGCCCGTTCTTGGTGGTGGCAGTCCGGCTGCTCCTCGTGGTGAAGATAGTAATTTTCGAGATCGACGATGTCCTGACACGAGACGAACGTCCGACAAACCGGGCAGCTGGCACGAGACGCAAACCACTTGTCGACGCAGACAACATGAAAGACGTGCTTGCACCGCGGCAAGAGCCGGAGAAGATCACCGCCTTCGTACTTTGACAAGCAAACCGGGCACTCGTCCACGCCGAGAACTCCGACTCCCTGAAGCTTGAGCGAAGGCTGGAGCTTCGGGAGAGCATCGACGAGCCACTGGGAGAGGGTGCCGTGGGAGTCGAGTGGTAGCCTCAAAGCCCCGCCTTGGACATGGTGGTGGCGAGTGGAGGAGAAATTCCCGTTTCCAGTCGCGGGGCTGGAGGCTACGGCAGCGGCTCGCGACGAGAGCACCCTCTTGCAATGCCGGCCGTAGAGGACGAGGAAGAACGTCACACAGAGAAGAGCTGCGAGGATCCCGACCACAATCGCGACTTTGGGCTCGAATCCACACGGTACTTCAGAGTCTTCGTCGGAGCTTGGATCTACAGATGGAAGGAGAGGTGGCATCGAGGATGAGGCGATGATGGGCAACAAAAACACCATCTTGGCTGGTTCTTTCCTGGAGCTCCTCCTTGCAGCCTCTCCCTCGTGTAAGTGACTTCCTGTCTTACTACTACTCTTCTTTCTACTAGCTCCTCATTCCTTTTTTTCCTGCTGTTTTCCAGGCGTGATCTAATCGGGCCAACACAAACCGTTGTGCTGCAGCAAGGGGCCGCAGCAAAACGATCAAAATCGCATTTTTTACCCAGCACAGAGCAGACTATAGCGTCATAAAAGACATTTAACAACGACAATGCCTTGCGAGCGAGGATCCTGGACCGTTTGCTCCTCGATCAGTCGCGACTTAAAAGGCCTTAAGAATCCATCCCGCCCCCGCTACTGCTGCTGCTAAGGGCGACTACTTCTACTACGAACAACCTCATGAGGCTACAAAAATTCCCGTTTCAGGCAAGTTCTCCAAAAGTTTCTTCGTTTGGAATGGATGACTCAGCTGCTGCGACTGGCTGTTTCTATTCCAGTGCAAGCCTTCGCTCTACTGTGGAGGAGACTCATTGGCGACCCCGGGCTTATCCTCTTCAATGCTGCTTGCCGAATAAGACTTGGATCTTCCTGGCGTGCATGGCGAGCATGTGTACGTATTTTCTTTGTTGTGTGGCGTAGGGCGTGATCTTCATCCGACTGTGGATCAGCGTGGAGTTAAATCGTGTTCTCGTCGTTGCTCGGCCAAGTGTTGTCTTGGCTGTCCTCCTTACAAGTGTTGCTAGCTTTTGGTGATGATTATTGTCGGTTCAAGTGCTTTCGTGAGCTTCCTTCTTTCCTTTGTAGTTCTTATATCTTGCTTGCTCGATTAAAACTACTTTTTGTCGAGAGCTACAGAGATGACACCACTGCTCGTCCTGGTTTGATTTGATGTCCCTTCTACTAACAACAGAGACAGGGCTCTCTCTAGTTCTGTTCACCAGCAATTTTTTGGAAGATCGCCAAAACTTCAACGCATCGAAATAGAAAATTCGAGGGAGATATCAGCATCGTTCCGATGAGATACCGCTCGCTTGGAGATTAGGTGGTAAGCACATTTCACCAATAGAACCTTCATCTTTGTCACTAATCTCTTCTTTTCTTTGTTCTCTTTGTTTAGTGCTAGCTCTCCTTGTCAAAGTTTTCGAAGACTGGTAGCTAGGCGGCGTCTTCCCAAAGGCGGGGCCTTTAGATGGGAAAAATTCCGTGAGGTGACTTCGATCGTATAGAATACCAGCTTTTTTAGAAGCTCACTAATCCTTGGACTCGAAGGTTGGAGAAGAACGCTCGCTCGTCCACTGTGTGTTCGAGTAAAGTATGGGGAGCGAGGCTCTGTTTCAAGGCTGGGACTGGGATCTACTCCTCCCAAAGTTGCGAAACGAGAAAACCCGCCCGGCTGACAAGGACCTCTTGAGCGACGCCTTGAAAGATCCAGACTTTCGAACCCACAGCAGCGGTCGGCTGCTGCTAACGCTACTGCCGCTGCGATCGCTGGACGAAGCTGACGAAGAAGAAGAGGCGGCGTAGCTCGAGACGCCGGTTTCGATCTTCCCGGACGACGAGCATGGCTCCTCCACCACCTCAAAATCGAGCACCACGAACTCGTGATCGCGCTGGTCCTCGCGGAGGTTGCACAGGATCGTGGAGAGCTCGGCGGAATTGTTGGGCGCGAGGAGGAAGCCCGAGTCGCGGTGGCAGGGTGGCGGCGGTGGCGGTAGCGGCGATGACAGTGGTGGCTGCGCGAGGACGAGCATCATGTCGTGGTAGCTGACGGGATTGGATCCTGTGGAGTGGGACCTGCGAAGAACCGGAGGGATGGCTCGGCTCTTGGTAGCCGCCTTTCGCCGCCGGTGGTCCAGCTGCAAGCTCAGCGATCTCGGCAGCCGCTGCTTCCTCATGAGCTCTTCGTCCCCTCGATCATCGCAATGCGGCTCCTCCAGCTCCGGTGGATGAAGTTGGCGCTCTTGATCATCACCACCTCCTTCTGGATCGCCCATCGTCTGGATCGGTGGAGTGAGCAGCAGTGGCGCGATCGGGTGTTGATCCGGCGGTGCCACCACTGGCGCGCGGCACAGCGGGCAATTGGAGTGCGATCGCAGCCAGACGTCGATGCACGAGAGATGGAAGGCGTGCAAGCACTTTGGGAGGATGCGTAGCTCGTCGTCCTCCTCGAATTCGCCCAGGCACACCACGCACTCGCTGCTGCCCACCACGCCCTCGCCGCCGACGCGATAGACGTAGACCGGGATCTTCTTGACGATGGATTCGTCCAGGCCGGTGTTCATGGCCAGCAGCCAGCCCTGTTCTACATCCCCGGCGCTCGACGACGCCCCATGGAGATTCTCGCCGCGACCGCGGCGATTGCCACCGCCGCCCCGGCCGCTGAGACCCCAGAAGATCTGCCACGCGCTGCAGTACTTTGCGAAGACCTTGTAGTAGCTGACGAGGAGGATCGCGCTGCCGAGGAGCGCGACGCTGGCCACGATCGCGGGAGTGAGGATGGACGTCCTGCTGATGCCACCGCCCGAGGAGGAGGAGCGAGGGGATGGAGGAGGGAAGAAATCGACAGGGGGATAGGGAGGCCAGTACCAGGGTGGATAGGAGCTGTAAGGGGGGAAGGGGAATGGAAATCCTGGATCATCGACAGTGGGAACTGCGTAGTCTTGCGGCGCCATGGCGCGGTTCTTGGATGATTGTTGGAAATTCCTGTGTGTTCTTGCGAGATCCTTGGAGCGCGAGGTGTGGAGATGAGGCTCCGTCATTGCTATAGCTCTGGATTGCGCGATTCTTCCATCTGCGAGATCATATGGATCGGTGAATTAGAATGTGGGGGAGGAGAATTGCGTGAAATCTAGACTGGGATCGATCAACCGCTGGCCGATCTTGCTCCAGAGCGAAAACAACAGTGGAAGTAAATGAGCGATCTACTCACGGACACGGTGGAGCGATTTAGTTATCGTCGCGGCTTACCAGATGAATCTCGCGGAGCGAAGCGAGGGCCAGTCGTGTTCTATGCGCCCTAAAGAGAGGAGAGACGAGAGCTCGTTTTCTTTTTCTTTCTCTCCGTCTACCCCCTGCCTCTCTCATTTTCAACGCTCCGGACCGCATCTGGACCGTCGCCAGGATCCAACGGCCAGGGGATGGATGAAATCTTGGCCGTCCGATGGGCGAGGGATTAGGGTTCTAAGATGGCGATGGCGATCAACAGGGAGGAGCGGCGATCACGAGGTATGCGCGATCCGACTGATTGAGCATTTGATCGATTGTCCAGAGATTTGGCCATGCCGCATTGATTGACAAGAGATGAGATTTTTTTGGTAGAGTGTCTTCCGTTATAACTTAGAACACTGGCTTGTTTTCTTTCTATCAGGGGTCAAAATGTAGCTTTTAGTTCTTAGCTATTGTTTTAAGCTTTTGTCGGGAGTTTATCTGTGTTCGTGTCAGCTCGATTGATTCTCAAAGCCTTTTTTTTTCTAGCATCGACTCGTGGCCTGCGTTGCGCTTTTTTATCAAGGAAAGAAGGTAATGATTCTCCTATCATCAAGCTAATCTCTGTAATGCTGTCCTAGTGCTCCATCAGCTCTAGTGATCGTCGACACGGGCTTCTAAAGACAAAAAAGAAAAGAAAAGAAAAAAAAAAAACAGAGAGAGAGAGAAAAAGAAAAGTAGGTGCTTTTTGTTTTCCTTTCAAAGCTTTTGACACTGTTGAATTCTACAGGGACTTCTTTGTGCTCGCTTCGTCGAATGGAGATGAAATTCAAAGGTGGGAATCTAGTTTTTTTCTCTCTTCCGGGTCACAAATTCGTTTTCTGTCCGATCAGGCTTATCTTCGCTACTCTAGGCACATTTCTTCTACGTGCTTGCAAAAGGAAAGCAAGTGGAGTGTTTTACTTTTTCGAGAACGATCAAAGTGCTCGTCTTGCACAGGCTCATCGGGCATGAATCAAGTATCCAATTATCAGGAATGGTGTACGAACACGATTCCTTGATCAATCCAGACGAAACTTTTAATCCTGTGAGTATCTCTCCCTCGCTCGTCAAGAATTTACAATCTTTGCTGCGTATTTCTATACACAAATTTACACAGATTGATAGATATCGCTGGAAACGGCTCTCCTCAAGCTATGAGGACGACTCGAAGATTCATTCACGGCATTTTCGCGGCGGCCATTATCACCATGCCCTTGTTCTGGAAAGAACGACTGTATCGGTGGGCTACTGTTGCTTCGATGCAAAGATTGGAGAAACCTGTCCCTTGCAGAAACTTTTGGCGTCTTGGACCGTTGCTCCGAGGAGTCCAATGAAAACTGGTCTCGTTGCTCCGAGGAATCCAACAAAAACTGGCTCTCGAGTTCCTCCGATCGATGGTCGTGACCAGCAGCGGTTTGCTCGTCGTTGATGGCAATGGAGACTTCAGCCGGGGGATGAGAGATGGAGTTCGGACTTTCGGGGTGGTCGGAGCAACACCTGACGGGAACTAAGATGCATCGACAAAGCGGACAGGTGGAGTGAGAAAAGAGCCACATATCGATGCAGTCGGTGTGGAAGAAGTGCGAGCAACCGGGGAGGATCTTGACAACTTCGTCCTCTTGGAAATCCGTGAGGCAGACCGAGCACTCGGTGGCGACCTTACCATACTTGGAGCACTTCTCCGACGTGAACGGAAACACCGGCAGCGATTCGATCGTCTCTTTATCGAGTCCCGGCTGAATCGGTGTCGCGAAAGCTGAAAGTTCCGAGAACGGTGGCAGGGTGATCATCGCAGCGTGAGCACGGCGCCTGCGAGCGATGGAGCAGCTCCGCTTGAAATAGACGCACAGGGATCCCATGAAGAAGAAGGCCGTGAAGAGAGCCGCGAGTCCGAATCCTATCATCGGGTTGAATCTCACAGGACTCCCGTAGTGAGGCACGGCGGTAAGGTTCCCGCTTTGCTGCTGGGAAGAATCAAACGACGCTGCCGCTCCATGCGGCTGCCGGAAGATCGAGACGATGGAATGCCGGAAAAGAACCATCTTGGACGACTACAACTTCTATACAAGAGGTACCCTTTGTGCTTGAAGCTTTGAGCTTTGCAACTTTGCTCACGAGAGAGTGAGAGTGAGAAAAGAGAGAGAAAGGAGGAGTGAGCTTGCGTGTTGTGCTGGCAGGGCCGGGTATTTGTATCCGGCAAGTCGCCGTCACGGATAATTGCACTCATCGTCGCCAATGTACCGCGGAAAGGTAACACCACTGTTTTTTTGCGAGCTTTTTTTCAGTGGACTCGTCGTCCATAGCCAGAGAGCTTTAGCTGACTCCATTCTCTCTATCAGATGATCATTATCCAGGAACATGAGGAAGAGAGGAGACACACGTCGGGGAAAAATTCCTCCTTTCCGGATTCAACTGCGACCTTGTAAGAATTTCTCAGCTCTAGAAATTTCGTGTGGCCGAGTGGTGTGGACCGACCATTTTGGTATTGCTTTTTTTTTTTTTTTTTCTATGACTAATGTATCCTATATTCTCATCAGACATGACTTGGGATCACAAAGACATCGCCAGGTGTAAAAGCTCCTGTGCACGGTGCGATGGCGAAGGAATCCCAAGTGTCCTGGAGGCTAAAAAATACAGTTTTGGGGGCGGCAGCCGGCAGATCTTTCTCGGGAAAGTCGAGTGAGGTGCGGTGCGAAACTCTATATTTGGCGGTGAATTGCTTGCTTGCTCTATTGCTTGGACCGACTGTAATATGCTGCTCACACTGGTGTTCTTCGTGGTTCTTTCAGATGAAGCATATCGTAGCTACGACGTCATTGAGCTATCGAGGACTTGGTCTCTGGCAAATACACGCGCAAAACATGGTACCGTCCTATAGATCCAAAGTTTTTCTCTTTTGCATAGCCTTTTCCCATCGAGGTGGCTTGCACGAATATGCGTTACGTTTAAGGAATATTCTTTTAGGGCTTGCAAAGACTACTTTTAGGTTAACGACTATGTTTAGGGTTATAGCGAATATGCGTTTGGGGTAGTTTGATGCGATTAGGGCTCTGTTTTGATTTTACCGTTGCGACTTCCAGAAAGATATTTGATTTCCATGGAATTGAATTTGACACTGGGGCAGGATACCGGATCTTGGTAGCTGCCTTGCATGATAAATGATAACGGTAGCGTTTTTTACTCCACATTTTTTAGGGCATGTGTGGCCCTCCAACAGAACATACCACAACGGGCGCCATTTTGGTTTTTTCGTTTGATTGCTGTTCTTTTTCTTCACTTCTCCGGCGGTCGATCTATCGCTCTATCCATCGATAGCAGCTAGGCTAGGTCTTGGATCGGTCCATGCTGCTGCCAGATGGTGTGGATGCGCGACGCGGCGGACGCGGTGGCCATGGGAAACTGCTGTGCGTGCGCGGATAGCTGCGACGGATTTTGCCCTTGCCCCAAGAGAGTCCGGCCCAGGCTCATGGATTTCTTGCGCATGGAGGATCGCGAGGTGCTGGGGCTTCTCTTGGATCGGCATTCTCAGCGCCGCCGGCCGCGGCGCCAAGAGCAGCTCGATTTCGCGTCTGACAGGGAGAAGATCGATGGCCGGTCGCAGCTGGAGCACATCTTCCATCAAAATATGCCCGTTTCGGAGAATCGAGAGGGAGAGGCCAGCGGGGGCTTGCGAATCTACGTTGTTACTTGGAACATGAATGGAAAGGTGAGAGTTTCTATTTCTTTTTTCAGCAGGATTGATATTTTCTTTTTTCCTTAGATACCTGAACGAAATCTCGCAAATCTCGTGGACGATGAATCGGCGAGAAGGAAGCACGACTTGTACGTGATTGGTCTCCAGGAAGCTCCAAGTTTCTACGTCGAGTCTTTCTTTCTAGAGATTCTGGGCGAAAGTTACTGGTTGTGAAGATCTTTTCTCTTACGTTTCTCTCATTTCAACTCTCTTCTTTTTCGTCATGTAGCTTGGTTGCATCGTCGGTCATGTCATCTTTGCAACTTTTCGTGTTCGCAAGGACCGCGCTCCTGTCATTTTTAACTGGTATGTACAATCTCAATCTCTCCAAACGAGAATTCTACACTCGTTGTTTGTTTCTCCAGATCCCAGGAGCGACAGGGTTAGCGTAGGGGGATTTGGAGGTGTTATTGGTCGTCAAAAGGGGGCTGTTGCTGTCTCGTTGCGATACCGTCAGCTCAGATTTCTCTTCCTTTCATGCCACCTCGCCCGTAAGTTTTTGTTTTTTTTGCATTTCAAGCTTTCCATTACCGATGCCAGGTTTTTTACTCTAGCCTTTAATGCTTCAGCTCAGCTCACGAAGGCAATGTAGAGGCTCGAAATGCTCAGTTTGCTCGCATCACTCAGAGCGTTTTCGCAAGGCCAAACACTGCCAACGGGTGCTCGTGCTTGCACACGGCCACCGCCGTGGTCGTGGACGAGTATGGCCTCGATCAGCCCCAGGACCAACACAAGCAAAACCAGCATCAAGCTTGCAAGAACAACACTGTCGAGGGCTCCGATCTCGTCATCTTGATGGGGGACTTGAACTACAGAGTTGTCGGGCACAAAACTTCCGTAGGGATCTTGATCAAGAACAACCTCGAAAAGGTTCTCGCTTTTTCTTTCACTCCTTTTCAAATAACTCCAGCGTTTGTTTGTCTGATTTTACAGCTCTTATGGCCGAGAGACCAGCTCTCGAGAGAAGTCGCGCGAGGCAACATCTTCAACGGCTTTGTTGAAGGCCCGCTAACTTTCAGACCGACTTACAAGTATGACGTGGGAACCGATAACTATGACACGAGCTCAAAGGTAAGCAAGCGACTGCTTCTTCTGTTAAAACTCGGCTTGACTTTGAATCAGTAGAACTCATGATTTTTTCTTTCGTATCCAGGAAAGAGTGCCCTCATGGACGGATAGGATCTTGTTCAAAGTCCGGCACAAGAGCTGGCTCAGTGTGGCGGTCCAGGACTACGATTCGATCAACTCCTTGAAGAGCTCGGACCACAGGCCAGTAAAGGCACTGCTAAGAGTGAACACGAATCTCTAGAGAGATGGATCGATGCTTTGAAAGGCAGGCAGTCCTTCGATTCATCGTCTCATCGTCACCGCGTTGTGGTTCATTCAAGGCCACAGTGAGGTAATGTCAAGTCAAGGTATAGAATTTCTTCCAAAGCATACCTTGGCATTTACATACACTCATTTTATTCCGACCTTTTCGATAGACAGAAGGTCTATTCCTGTTGGATTTCCAGGAAGTGACTCCTGGCTTGGTTGCCTTGTTTGCTTTCTCTTCCGAGTTCTAGACATTTTGGGATTTGGAACCCGTGTTTTGACATGACAGATTTTTCTTTCTCGTTTATGGTGGTGTCCATTCATTACAAGAAAAAGTGGACCTTCCTGTATAAACAGGGTCTTGTTCAAAGAGCTGCACGGAATCACATTAGTCAAAGCAGTGATCTCTTGAAGCTATCCACACAAGGTAAATAATTAGTACAATAAATTGTTATGCATTGCACGTAGTAATGTTTAGTTTGCTTAGTAATAGTGTTATTCTTATTTATTAATTTAATTGATTAAATAAAATTTATAATTATAAGCATGTTTGTAATTTATAAACACAAAATTAATTTTATTCAACCATTAGATGATACAGTAAAAAACAATATACTAGAAAGGGTTTAAGAGAGTTTATAAATTATAAATATAAAATTAATCTAAATGAATAATAACTATTAGATGGTAGAATTTTAGAATATATTTTAAATATATTCATTTAGTTCCCTTACAGGTTTGCTTAAGTAAATAAAAAAAAACATTTATTCCATGCCAACGTAAGCACGACATGAAAATTCACAGACTGTTATAGTAAAACTTTAGTCAGCAGAGTCAGCAGAGGAATGCTGACGTGGATCCCTCGTGGCACGTGTTTATGTTGACCTTTGCGAGCGAAAACCGGCACGGCACATTGATGGAGTTCCTGGGAAGAGACCTTAGCGATCCGGTGAGTAGCGGCGAGAATTACGGCTATGGGATGGATGGCTCCTCCCCGGCGGCGGTGGAATCGCCCGGATCGTCCGGCCTCACGCTGGAGGAGCTCAACAGCTTGATGATGGACGAGAATGGCGGTGGCGAGAGTGCTATGGCAGGATCCACCATGATCAAGGAGCTCCAGGAGCTCATTCTCTATGATTCCCCGTCGCCCTCTTCTTCTTCGTCGCAGCAGCAGCAGCAGGCAGTGACCGTGGCCACTAGCGCCAGCGATTGGAGCTCACTGGATGGCTTATCGATCAAGAGCTGGACGAGCGAGATGATAGTGGGCGAGGATCAGGAGGTCTCGTCGTCCTCTTGCAACACAATGGTGAGGAGCAGCAGCCAGGAGCTCTCCAGCTCCGATTCCCCCGGGAGCTTCGCGAATTTGCGCGATCTGACCCCGACCCACGTCGCGGATCGCCAGGAGCTGCATGGGTTCTCGTCCGACCGAGCGGATTTGGTCGGCATTCTCCAGGAAGTGATCGCCTCTCACCTGGCCACGGACAAAAGGAACAGCCAAGAGAAGCCCGCTGCTACTGCGATCAATCGAAAGAAGCGAAACAGCGCAGCCACATCGGAGGAGGAAGACGCGGTGGAGGGGCTCAAGACGGTGATCAAGATCCGACGGCAGGGATCCGAGACCGCCGACAAATCCAACGGCCACAATCCGCGCTTATACTCCGTGTCGCGCGACATCATGACACTGCTCCACGACTGCGCCCACGCCGTGGCGGTACGCGACGTGGCCAACGCTAACAGCCTGGCGGTATCCATCCGGCGCCAGCACGGCGCGTCGCCCACCGCCGCGGACCCCGCGCGGCGCGTCGCCTACTACTTCGTGGAGTCGCTGCTGGCGCGCGTGCTGGGCACCGGTACCGCGCTGGCTGCCGCCACGGCATCCAACTCTGGCGGCCCGGACGTCATGGAGAGAGTCTACGAGTTCCGGCTCCACGCCACGCCCAGCCCGCTGGTGCCACACTTCGTCTCCACCTCCACGATCGTGGCGGCTGCGCAGGGCAAGCGATTCCTCCACATTGTCGAGATCGGCATGGCGAGGAATCGCTTCCAGTGGTCGCTCCTCCTCCAGGCGCTGGCGCACCGCCGCGACGTACCGTTGCGCCGCCTCCGCGTCACGGCAGTAGATTCGCCCCAGCACAAGGCGCTGCTCGCCCAGCTTGCGCAGCGCATCATCTTTGAATCCTCGCGCTTGGGATTGGAGGCCGAGGTCGAGCTGGAGATCGCCGACGCGCACGCCTGGGAGGCTGTTCTCCCGCGGATCGTGCCGCGCGCCGCCCCGGGCGAGGTGCTCGTCGTGAATGCCCTCTTCGCGCTCGACTTCCTCGAGGACGAGACGGCGGTACAGGCGCGCAGCCCGCGGCGCGCCGTGCTGTCCGCGCTGCGCCGCATGGACCCGGCGGTGCTGGTGCTGGGCATCAACCACGGGTACCGCGCGGTACCGCAGTTTAGCTTTCTGGAGCGCTTTGTGCAGGCGGTGACGCGGTTTAACGCCAAGTTTGACGCGGCGTTGGAGTGTGGGTCGGGCGGCGCCCAGGCGGCGGGCCGCGCGGCATACGAGGGCCAGTTCTTGGGGCCCGAGATACTTAACTTGGTGGCGTGCGACGGTAGTGACCGGCTGGTTAGAACAGCGCCTTGCGAGGAGTGGGAGCGCGCGATGGTTGGCGCTGGATTCGTGGCGCTGCCGCTGGAGGAGAGCACGGTTTTGAGAGCCCAGGCGATGATGGGGAACTACAGCCGGAACTTTGAGCTAGATTACAGCGATGGATGGATCAAGTTGGCGTGGAAGAAGGTGACGACGCAGTGCGTTTCGGTGTGGCAGCCCCGCAGGACAATTCTACCTCGATACTTACTGATAGATTGATCGATTGATTGATAACTTCATTGCTTCGGAGACCAGCTTTCGAGTTTTCGAGCTTCTAACTGAGAAGAAAAATAAGATCTTGAGACCAAAATCTAACTTTGACTGATAGCCCTCGAGCTTGGCACAACCGAATACTGAGAATACTTTTCCTGGAAGATATGATACGATATTGTCATCACACTTTTATAGCTGGAACTTTGAGAAGAAACATACCTGGACTTTCTTTCATCTTCTGTAGATGTTCCTATTGGATTTCTGCCAGTTCATGTGTTGCAGCCTGAGCACACGCTTTGGAACTGTCCATCCCCAGCCAGCGACTTTCTCCGGCCTCTTCTTCACGTATGGCTTGGCCTCCCAGCTCGATTCCATATGAGTCGGGAGTGGTGCCACGAATCTCATCCGCTCGGGGTCCAGGCCAAAGTCCACCGCGCCTGGTTTCTTCCGCAGCCGGGGGATGGTAAGCTCCCTTGAGTGGAGATGGAGCAGAGGATTCTTGGAGACTACGCTGCCTGCCATCTTGTTCCTCGCTTTGATGTCTTGAGGGTCCACCGTGTTCATGTTTCTTTCCGCCATCCATTTCTTATGTGTGTTGAATCCATACTTCATGTCTCCGACGATAGGAAGTCCAAGGCCTTGAGCGCAATGCACGCGGAGCTGATTATAATAATAAAAAAAGCAACTTTAGTGAGTACTAAACGTCGCGAAAAGCCACCTGATGTTTTCTTCCAGTGAGTGGACGTAGTTGTAGCCACGTACAGCCTACGAAGGGAAATAAGATAATTACAAGCAAAGAAATCAATCGCAAAAGAGTTCTCTCACCCAGTACTGAACGCTTCAAAACCTGATACTCGGTAATAGCTGGGATCGCGTTCTCGGACTTGGGATCAGCCGCTATTAACACACGATCGGATTTTCCATCCTCCAGAACCATCTGTTCAACGCTCTCACATCTATGAGCAATCCAAACGTGTAAAATGAAAGTGTAGTACCTTCAACAGTGGAGCTGAAATGAAACCTTTGTCTGCCGTAGGTGAGCCAATCACTAGAGCTATGTATTTCCGGTCCAAGCCTTTCCCAACACTCCCCTGGGTTGTAACTTTGGTAAAATGTTTTTGCCTAACATAAGGTACTCACGCTGGGCATCAAGTTGTCTTTTGAGCATAAGAAACTCTGGATCTTGACAGTGCTTTCGTAAGTGCGCCCAAGAATCATGACACCGCTCACATCTTTATCGAGACGATGAACCTACATTGTTAGCGAGATCATTGCACGGTTCATAGAAAGCGAATAGTGATTACCAGTCTTGGAGGCTCTTTGTATTCGAACTGAAGAGCCAAACTCATCATGGAGACTAGACTCCTCTCGACTTTACTTCCACCCTGAAAACGATAGATCATTTCATTATAAAGCATACACAGTAAGTAGTACCTGGACTGGCAATCCTGGTGGCTTGTTGAGAACTATCAAATCCTCGTCCTAAAGTTTCCAGTGGCAGTGAAACACTAAAGTGAATCTCAAAAAATCAAACCTTGTAAAGCACCGCATCCTTGAGCTGCTCAATCTCTTCCTCAGTGGGATCATCCGGCTCGTGAGACTGGCTGCTCGCCTCGATCTTCGTCACACTGTCGGGCACGCAAATCAGAGCTCCTACCGGCATGATGGCATTCCGTTTCACCTAAAACAAACAAGGCCAAAACGTTAAGTAGCGGGACGTGTTCTTCCCTCAAGCACGAAGAACACACACCTTGCATTCAAAACTAAGAGGAGTTTGTGTGACAAAGCTATACCCTCCGATATTTTGTGCTCGTTGTTCCACTCCCCGGATCCTCCACCAGCATTTTCACGCGAATCTAGAGAGCAAGAGATGGATTTTAATACTCCTAGCAAAGCACGAAAGAAGAGATCTTACAGCCCTTCTCCGGAAAAGCCTTGAGAGTGTGCTGATCGGTAACTCGGGCAAGCATTTGCTCACCCACTTACACGCACTCGTTTTAATCGTCTGCCCCTCGCTTCCAATCTCCCGGCGAGGAACTGGCGGGAGAGTCTTGAGCCAGGCACCAATCCCAGGATTGTCCTCCTCCTCATCCCCGGAGGACGAAGACAAGGAATCCGTGGAGCACAATCTGGAGACCTGCAAGAGCTGGGGATTTCCCAGAAAATGGCGCCGCATTGTGGCATTTCTCGCGAGAGCGCGAAGCATACCTCGAAGAACCCTAAATTAAACCCTAGACCCTATTGTATACCACGTGTATCTAGGTCTGACGCAGCCCTAATCTCCCAATCGATTCAAGCATCCGTCAACCAGCCGCCAAGGACCCTGATCTACCGCGGCGAGCGCGATCTGGGAGTGGCTCCACAGGTGGAGAGCTACTTTCGAATCGCCCGGATGAGAAAGAGTTGATTGCGCTCAAGGACGCGAGGAAGAACTCGAGCTCGCAGCTGGGAGGATTTCCGGGAAGCGTTCCTCAAGTTCTTCATGCCCGCGAATTACCAGCGCGAGGCCAAGTTTGCGCTCATGGATCTCCGGCAGCTGAGGGAGTATAGCTCCCGGTTTTGCAAGCTCGTGTCGCGGTTGAACGGCGAGGACAAGGTGACGTACTACGTGCACGGCCTCAAGTGTAGCGTCCGAATGGATGATCACAATCCCCAGACGCTCGAGCAATCCCAATAGAACTTCTTGTAAGTTCTTAGACAGAAGTACATTCTTATTTCCATCTCTTGGATACCTACTGCTCCTAAGTTCGATCGTTTGCAGGAGCCTTGATGAAGAAGCTGCTGAAGAATCGGGCCGCAATCAGCCTGAAGGGGGAACTCTGGCATTTCAGATTTCTCCACCGGCGCGAGTTAGCTGTGAGAGTCCACGAAAAAGAGCTGCATGGAGCTCGTGTCCACACTGCTCGTTAAAGGCGTTGCCCACAGTACTAAAGTAAAAAGAGTTTGAATGAAATAAAAACGAAACTCATGAGTCCCAAGCTCAAGGACTCCGATCTCTTGCCCAGTCGCTGTAGAGTCCTGTATAAAGCATTGACAATGGAACCTGGACCGGCAATCCTGGTGGCTTGTGGAGAACTATCAAATCAAATCCTCGTCCTAAAGTTTCCAGTGGCAGTGAAACACGGGGGTGAATCTCAGAAAATCAAACCTTGTAAAGCACCGCGTCCTTGAGCTGCTCAATCTCTTCCTCAGTGGGATCATCCGGCTGGCTGCTCGCCTCGATCTTGGGCCGTTCTTCCCTCAAGCACGAAGAACACACACCTTGCATTCAAAACTAACAGGAATGCTATAGTTTGTGCTCGTTGTTCCACTCCCTCCAGCATTTTCACGCGAATCTAGAGAGCAAGATATGGATTTTAATATCCTAGCAAAGCACGAAAGAAGAGATCTTACAGCTCTTTGAGAGTGTGCTCGTCCCTCGCCCTCAGCCACGTCACCACGCGTATCAATATTCTTTTGCCACGTGTCCTTAAAATATGATGCAGCCCTAATTTCCTAGATACTTTCACAACCCGACGGCCAGGATGCCACCACGAGGGGCCGGCGCCTAATTGGCGCAACGTGGCCCAGTGGATGCGATGGGCCATCTGCCCATATTTTCTCTCCGGCGAGCTTGGGACCTAATAGGCACGTACGCATTGTACGGCTGCCTTGGAGCCAAAGACTCTTCTCTTTTCCTGCTCAACGGGGAAAGGGGAGCGCTCCTTCACGCGCTCTCATGGCGGCGGCGGTGGCGTCGATGGCGGCGGCGAGTAGCGCCCGGCATTCCAAGCGCGATGGCGGTGGTGGGTGTGGGAGGGTCGTGCTGTGCAGCCCTGGGTGAGCCGCACGGCACCGCGCGGCGCCCTTTTCTGGTGGCCTGAACGATCGATCGAGGTATGCTTTGCTTCCGGCTGTGCTCTGGCGTGATCGCCGCGCTCGAAATATCGCTCCTACGATCCTTGATCGAGCTTGTTGCGCTGCCTGGTCAAGGTCTTCTTTTGCGTGCCAGTGTAAACAATGTGAAGGATTTGCGCGCTAGTTTCGGCATGCTTGCATGGATTTTCTTCGCTATTCTTTCTTCCAAGCTCTTTGGTTTCTTCTTTTTGCTCTATGCTTTGTCCCGTGGGAGATCGTAATGTAGCTCTCTTTTGTAAAGCAATGCTGCTTTTCTTTTCCATATTTTCTTCCTCTTCCACTGCTAGTCTCTGTCACAGTGCTAGATTTTTTCCTTCCTTTCTTTTTGTGATGCTCGCTTTTCGGTGCGTGGTTTCCAAATAGATCTTTTTTCTTTTTTTTATGCGCCAAAAAGAGTACTTTTTTCTCTCATGTTGTTTCTTTCCTTGCAGGAATCACTCTCGTGTAGTTGGAACTATCGATTCGTACAATGCTGCGCTCGGCGAAGTTATTACCTTTGTGCAAGGGCGCGAGGAACTGGCTCGTCGCTGGGACTGTGTATGGACCGAAAGCCACTGGAGATGCTAGCAACAGTGACGATAACAGGCGAGACGAGGCACCCGACTCCAGGGGCTACGAGAACAGAGCTCCACCGTATAACAGGCATGGACGTTCTGCCAACAAAGACATACACACGCATTCGAGCGAGCCGTCGGCAACAAAGAAGTTTGCTCCAAGAGACACCGCCTTTCGCCAGAACTTTCCACGCCCGAATCACGCTAGAGGATATCCTGAGCTCGGGCAAACCGATGGACTTGCAAGCGTTGGGAGATACTCCGTGGAGTACAAGTCCTCGGGGAGTAGCGAAGTCAAGAAAACTACCAAGGCCTCGCCTCAGTCGTCGAGCAACGAGCCAAAGACCTCAACGTTTGCAAAGGCCAGCGGTGTCGAGCAGGAAGATGCGAACGCGAGGAACTCATCCGAGACAATGTCTTGCACTTTCAGCAGCGAGCCTGTGGAAGCTCCGGCTGCAGTCCCCGTCTTTGGCAGCGTTCCTTCCCTCGGAGACCTCAACGACTTTGAGAAGCCGGTCCTATCGTTCCAGCCGTCCGAGCTGCGGAGAGATACTTCCTTCGAGTCCGCAAAGACAGTTCCAGCATTTTCGGCCCCCGAGCTACAGAAGGATGCTGCTACTACTCCAAGTTTCACTCCCGCCTCGAGTGCTAGCAACGCAGAACCTTTCGTCCCCAGGCCGAGCTCGGCAGCGTCCTCGGACTCTTCTCTAAGCTCCACCGAAGTCACCCGGACTAAACCAGTAGCAGTAGCAGCAGCTACAAGCCGCAACAGCGATTCAACAGTTAGCAGCACTACTCACACATCATCAACAGCAACTAGCAGCACTACACCGTCGACGAACTCTAGCAACTTTCACAGGAAGAGCGGTGGCCAGGCGAAACACGGCCACCACCACCATAGGAACAACAGGTCTAACAGCAGCGAGAGCCACCGCCTGGTGGCCCGCGTCTGCGGCATTCTAAACCAGCACGGCTGGGGAGACGAGACCGTGCGAGCTCTAGCCGGACTCAACGCCAACTTAAACGCGTACCAGGTGAACGAGATCCTCAAGCAGCAAAAGGAGGCCGGGGTGGCGTACAACTTCTTCATCTGGGCCAGGAAGCAAGCCGGCTTCAAGCACGACGTCCACACTTACACCACCATTCTCGGCATCCTCGGCCGCGCAAAGAGCTTTGACGTTCTCAACAATCTCCTCGACGAGATGATCCGGGAAGGCTGCGAGCCAAACGTGGTGACTTACAACCGGCTCATCCATTGCTACGGCCGGGCCAACGATCTCGACTCGTCGCTCAAGCTGTTCAACGTGATGCAGATGGTTGGCTGCGAGCCGGACCGTGTGACTTACTGCACGCTCATCGATCTCCAGGCCAAGGCCGGCTTCCACGACGCGGCCATGGATCTCTACCGCCAGATGCAGCACGCCGGCTTCCGGCCGGACACGTTCACCTACAGCATCATCATCCACTGCCTCGGCAAGGCCGGGAAGCTCAACGCGGCCTACAAGCTCTTCTGCGAGATGACTGACCGCGGCTACGCTCCCAGCCTGGTGACTTACAACATCATCATCGACCTCCACGCGAAAGCTGGCAAGTTTGACATGGCGCTCAAGCTCTACTCGGATCTCCAGGAAGTCGGCTACGCTCCGGACCGGGTCACGTATGGGATCATCATGGAAGTTCTCGGGAACTGCGGCCACATCGAGGACGCGGAGCAAGTTTTCGAGGAGATGGAGCGAGCCGGCTGGGTGGCGGACAACCCGATCTTCGGGCTCATGGTGGATATGTGGGGTAAGACGGGCAACGCCGAGAAGGCCGCGCAGTGGTTTAACCGGATGCTCGACTCGGGCCTCCAGCCAAACGTCCCGGCTTGCAACTCACTCCTCAGCGCCTACCTGCGCTCCAGCTTCTACGACGCCGCCGGCGGCGTGCTGGGCGGCATGGCCAAGTGGGGGCTCTACCCGACGCTGCAGACGTACACGTCGCTGCTGAGCAGCTGCGCGGCGTGCCGCGCGGCGTGGGAGTACGACGCGCTGTTCGGCCTCATGGGCGGGACCGGCCACCCGGCCCACCCGTTCGTCTGCTCGCTACTGGCCTCGGGCGGTACCGCCGGCGGCGCGGTCGTCGGGCTCCCGTACGGGGCCGACGTCCGCGCGGTGTACGGCACGCGTACCGCAGAGATGGTGGTGGGCATCCGCTGCTTCTTCGACGCGATGCAATTCGAGGAGCTGGAGAGCCGGCGTGGCTTCGCGGACTCGCTCATCGACTTCCTCCACCGTGCGGGCAAGGCGGTGGCGGCGGGCAGCGTGTGGGAGGTGGCGGCGGAGAAGAACCTCTACCCCAACGCGGTGCGAGAGAAGGCGCCGCAGTACTGGTCCATCAACCTCCACGTCATGTCCACGGGCACCGCGCTGGTGGCGCTGGCCAGGACGCTGGCGATGTTCGCGGAGGCGGTGGTGCGTACGGGGGCGGCGCCGTACAGGATCGACATCATCACCGGGTGGGGGCGGCGGAGCCGGGTGCCCGGCGCGTCGCTCGTCAAGCAGGCGGTGGAGGGGATGCTGCGATCGCTCAACTCGCCGTTCCACCTGGATGGGTTGAATGTGGGGTGCTTCGTCGGGCAGGGGCCGGCGCTGGCGGAGTGGCTCAAGATGGTGCCGCTGGATCTCCACCAGCACCACCAGGGCAAGTTTGCGTGATTTTGGGATAGCAGGGAAGGGATGGGATGGGATTCTAATTTATGGGAGGAGAGGAGGGCTCTTCTTTCTCCTCCTCCAAGAACAACATTCTTCTCTCACGCGGGTGTGCGTGGTTTTGGATTTGTCATCTTTGGAAATTCGTCCTTCACCTTGATTAGAAATCTTGGAGTTCTTGTTGCTAGGGTTTTAACTTCTAAGGTTTTTTGCGATGGAAGCGCCGCGGCTCACTTGCTTCTCTGACGAGGCGCACGACGCGAGCTTCCATTTCCAGATCCTCTGCCTGGACAAGCAGGTAATGGCGATCGATCGATTCTTTCCCTCACATTTCCCGGATTCCTTCTCGCCTCTCTTTCTCGCAGCTTTACATCTGGATCGGGTGTAACTCCGCCAGGCTGGGGCATCTCTTCGCCTCAATCCCCACACCATACGTGAGTAGAATCTAGCACGTCTAGCCCCTGGATTGGCATTGGATCTCCTCGATCACTCCATGCTTTGCTTTCTTTCCAGGACAAGATGCCGAGCTTATCCGCCTTGATCGGCGGCGGTGGCGCCAACAGCGCGGGAGGCGGCATTGCTCGCAGGCTGGGTAGATTTTCTCATGCTTTTCTTCCATTCCAATCAATCTCTTTCTTTGCTCGAATTCGCAGCTCTCAGGACGGGATATAGCGTTGTTCTCGCAGCAAATCTTCCATCCAATGCGCCATCGCTTGAGGTCTCCCATAGTGTTTGCTTCTTCTCTCGCGAATCTAACTCTCTCGAAACAGGGATTTGCCGAAAGGAGAGTGCTAAAGGAACTCCAAGATCTTGGATATACCCGATAGTCCCTTTTTATTATTGTGTATATAATTGCGAGACTAGCTTTAGGGTTCATAGGGTTGGCGAATCCAAAGGAAGAGATGGCCGATGACGGGTTTGTTGTTGTGGATGCTAGCGATGATTCGTCCTTTGAGGACGTGGGAAAGGACTTCTGCAGTGTTTGGCCCGAGGATACCCAAGTTTACCCGAAAGTTGACGATGTCGTCCCCGGGAAAGAGGAAGTCTTGAAGAAGTTTTTGGATGGTATAGATATACCGGCGCCGGAGTACGCATATAGCGAAGTGGAGGAGCAGGAAAAGATCGATCATACTCGCAGCGAGGAGCAAGATGATGAAGCCTGCGAAAAAGGAAAGGAAGGATTAGGGAACGAGGGCCGAGAACAGGAAGGATTCCAGAAAGTGAGTTTGAGCGGTGATGATGAGGAACAGCAGGAAGGATTCCAGGATGAAATGGAAACTTTGAGCGATGATGGTGACGAGGAACAGCAGGAAGGATTCCAGGATGATATGGAAAATTTGAACGATGATGGTGATGATGAGGAACAGCAGGAAGGATTCCAGGATGATTTGAAAAATTTGAGCGATGATGGTGATGATGAGGGACAGCAGGAAGGATTCCAGGATGATATGAACGAATACTTGAGCAGTCAGGAGGAGGATTCCAGTGATTCTTCTATATCTATATCCCCGTCCCCGTCCCATGAGGAAGATTATGAGGAAGAGGAGGATTCTAACCAAGATGATGATGAGAATGAAAACGATAGTGACGAACAGGATGATATTGAAGACGAAGAGGACGATTCGAGCGATGAAGACGAAACCACTGACGAGTATATAAAAGAGGGAGACGAGGAACCGAAGGATTTGAGCAACGAATACGATGCGAAAGAGAATGGTGGCGATGAAGATGAGATAAAAGAGGAACTTCTTAGCGTTGGTGTCGAGGAACTTCGCACACCCTACGAAGAAAAGCAGGAAGAAAAGATGGAATCGAGCAAAGAATACAAGAATGGTGGTGATGAAAGTGAAAAGCGAGGGTGTGAAAAGAAGGAATCCAGCAAAGAATGCAAGAATAGATATGCAATGAGAGAGGCTGACTCATTTCATGAGGCTGAGTCGTCGAGCGATGAAGACGAGGAAGAAAGAATGGGCTTTCCCACAAGCGAATGGGTGGTAGTGTACACGAAGTATGAAGTGGTGGAGTTGTTTTGCATTCCACTGTTTAGAAGAGTGACACTCAAGATGCGCTCCTACTGCCTATGCATTTAGAATTCTCCTTACCTGTAATCTTGGTTTGCTTCTTTTAATCGAATCGATGAGCTATTTCTTGGTGTAATCCTTGAGCCCCTGCCGGAGAGCTTCCAGGTTGACGCCCTCGTCCACAAGAATGCTTGTGACGCCCATTTGTGAAACCTTGAATAAAGGAAAGTTTTAGAAAACGAAACGAAAAGAAGGTTTTTTGCTCACTGCTTTTATGTTGCGTTGTTCGTCATCGAAGAAGAGCATGTCCTTGAAAGGCGTGCTGGACTTTTGATGGATCTTTTGGAAGTGCTCGGTTTTGTGGCTCCAGCTCGGGTAGTTTTCCTGGAAAGAAGAAGAAAGAATTGCTTTGGAAGATGGAAGGAACAAATAAGGAGAAGAAGAGAGTAGCGAGGTTGAGCTTGGATAGAAAGGCAGTCGCAATGTCGGGTGTGGGAGTTGGCGACGCCCTGCGCGCTGAGAATCCCGGTCACCAAGCGCGGATTATCTCGCTTTGACATGCATTCGCTTTAGGGAGAGAGAGAGAGTCAATCGCTCACCACCAGAAGGGCCACAGCGTGTAGTCGAGGAGGTGGCGCTGGAGCTCTAAATTGGAAGCCCCAAAAACAGAGTTCCCTTTAGATTGTTAATACTTTGTATTCTTTATCCACATGTAAAAATATAAGAAAGATTGGATTTTAGTTTCTCTACCAGTGTGAGCTAACATAGCATAGTTTGTCCTAAGACAGTATAGTTTGTCCTTGTAACATTTCTTGCACTCTAAGTATTTTTTATCATCTATATGTATTCCATGTGTAAAAATTTCATTGTTTTCAATTTGTATATAAAAGCAGGAAGAAAACATGTAAATATATAGAAATGATTTTTAAGACATTAGTTTCTCTACTAGTGATAATAATTTATAAAGTTTATAGCACTAGTGTTCAATTTGGAGATTATTATGAAATAAATAATAATGATATAGAGATGATAATTGCAAGCTTTTGGCAGCTCATTCAACCTCTTACAGGTGATTATCCTAGTGATTGGTCAGATGAAATAACACATCCCATATCAGCAGGAACAGTTATTGTAAGAGTAGCAAGATTTGATGGAAATCCACCAAATTGTATTTCTAGTGGAAGTCCAGATTTTGTAACTTCAGCCTCTATTTATCAAGGATTAGAAAGACTAATTAGGACTTACACACCTTCTATGTTATGGGCAACAGCAAATTACTTCAGAGTTACAGTGAGAAATCATGAAATCAGTTATATTGTCACAAAATCTTATTCTAAAAATCCAATATCATTATTATCATTTGAAGATTGCGATATATCTAAAACCACTATTCAAGGTGGTATGTATAATTCAATATTGTTTTATAGTGAATTTCTAATTTCACCAAATGGAAAACATGTATTATTCTTAACCTCAAACTGTAATCTTGTTTTATTTTCAGGAGAAAATATGATATGGGATAGTAAAACAAATAAGAATTATATATATAATTGCTATCTTAAACTGCAAATAGATGGACTTTTAGTTTTATATGGCAGTAATAAAAAAGTTGAATGGGCAAAAAACTTTATTTGCAACAAAAAATCCTTTTGTATTATAAGTACATTTTTAAGTCTTCAAAATGATTGTAACCTTGTATTATATACAACAAAGTTTCCACATAAATCTTTATGGTCATCACAAACACAAAACCATAAATTATGTCAGAATTAAACTTCTAAATATATATTAAAATTTATTTGTAATTTTAGTAAAATTATATATTATTATTTAATAAAATAAAAGTAAATATATAAATTTAATACCACTTGTGCTTAGCTAGTTTTTATAATTTAAATAAAAGGACTAGTCTTTTTTATTTCTCTTTAAATTGGTATAATATTGTATACAAATGGTTTTATACAATTTATAATTGTGAGGTCTAAATCAATACCACATACTATTATTGATAAAGTTTAGCACTATTTCAGCATATCAATGGCCTAACACAAGGTATATATTTGGCTTTGGGCTTTCATGTCAACACTAGGAGTTAGTCTCTAAAATAATCTCAAAAATTTATTAATAATGGAATAACAGAATTTGGATATTACATTCTATAAATATACCTTATTAGCAAATCTATACATTTTCCATAAATAACTAGTAACACATGAGGCATGATAGTGGAAACTCTATGTGCTTTTTGAGTAAGAGTTTATACTGTAAAAGAAAGACAAACAAACAAAGAATAAGAGTGAAAGAAAAAAAAAGGGGAAGAGTGGATGTTTGCTATTGTGTTTGCTTAATTTGATCTTGCCTTTTGCTGCAACTAGACACAAATAAACACACAAAGAGTAAGAAAGAAGAGCCATTTGAATCTTTTGACCCCTAGGAAAGCTCTTGTCAAGATCATAAGCAAGGATAGATTTAACATCACTTGAGTACTTTAGATCTTGAGCATATGGACATGCATTGATAATAGAAGGCCAAAATACAAAAAAGATAGGGATAGGGTTTGAATGCTAACTTGCCCCTTAACTAGTTATATGTAACTACCATTTCTTCTTATTCCTAAGTCTCAAGGTTTAAGTCTCAAGACTCAAGATGATACTTTTAAATACAAGGTTGATTTTTTGTGCTCCACTTTTCTCCCACAATTGAGTTGAGATTCATCTCAAAGCTCTTACTACTGGTTGTTTTATTGCTGCTGCAACCCCAAAGAGCTCGTTCTTGAACTTGTCGAGCTTCTGTCGGAACTCATCATCATCATTGTCAATTGAGTTTCATTGTCCATGACAATGGGTGGCTGCTTCGCCTTGAGCTGTTGGATCTCGTTGTGAAGCTCTACATTCTCCTTAGAGAGTTCCTTGTTCATGCACTAAGTCTCTGCACATACAAATCCCTGGAAAGCCATACCTTAAATGCTCCTCTTGATCTAAAGAATGTCACTCTGGATCTTTGTGAGTTTCGTGTTGAGGGGTTGGTAGACAATGGTGTTGATCATAGCCTAGACTCCATCTCACATGAAAACACTTATCTGCTCATTGTAGAAAAGCCTCATAAAATCTTCTGGTATTGGCATCTATGGCATTGGCTAGAGATGC